CCCCCATTTTCCCCATTTCCTGCTTGATAACACCTATCTCCTACTATTCCCCTCTCTTGAGTCCCTTCCGCTCTATCCCTATGATTCCTTTCCATTTTCCTGGCTCTTGTTGTTACATCAGGATATATACTCACATCTAAGGATTTGGAACTAGGATCCACAAATGAGAGGGAACATGCATCATTTGTTTTTCTGAGTCTGTGTTACTTCACTTAGTATTAGTTTCTAGTTCCATCCATTTACCTGCAAATTTCATTTTTCTTTACTGCTGAGTAGATTCCCCATTTTGTAAATGTGTCATATTTTCATTATTCATACATCAGTTGAAACACATTTAGGCTGTTTCCATTTCCTAGCTATTGGGAAAAGGGTAGCAACAAACATATACCTTTGGGTATATGCCAAGGAGAGCTATACTATAGCCAGATCATAAGGTAGATCTATTTTTGTTTTTTTAATTTTATTATTTTATGTGTATGCATATATTGGCTGCATGTGTATAACTGCATCCATGTCTGCAATTCCCACAGAAGTCAGAAGAGGGCACTGGATCCCCTGGAACTGGAGTTATGGAGAGCTGCCATGTGGGTGCTGGAAACTGAACCCAGGTCCTCTGCAAGAGCAGCCAGTGCTCTTAACCACTGAGCCATCCTCTCCAACTCCTGTTTCTAGTTTTTAGAGTTCTCCACACTGACTTCCATAACATTTGCACCAGTTTGCAATCCCCAGCAGTCAATGAAAGTTCCCCTTTCCCCACATCCTCACCAGCATTTGGTATCAGGATGGCTCAGTGGGAGGAAACTCATGTGGTACTGTAAACATAGCCAAGTATACAAGGCTGGAAATGGCAAAGACCCTAGAGAAGAATCTTTTTTGTCACATCCATAAACCAATGTAATATCCTACAGTATTATAAATACATATCCTTATATTTACAGACAAGTGTACCTCTCATCACTCATCAAAGAGGTTTCTTTTATGAAGTTCCACAACTAGTCAAACACAAAGAATAAATGAGTGTGAGGTGCCCAGCTCTAAGTAACACATCTACAATGCAACCTCTATACTTAAGGTCCAGGGAACACTTTGGAAGACGGGGTGGAAAGAATGTAAGAGCCAGAAGGACAAGACACCTGCTGCTACTCCATGCATTCTAGACATGACAAGAAAGCTACAGCAACAAAATCTCTACAGTATGGTCATCTAATGAGATTTCCCCCAATCCAAAGTCACGGGGGGGAAGCTTGTACCTCAAGATGATGAGCTATAAGCAATCAATGGATGCTGAGGGAGGGAGAATCAATTTTCTCCAAGGACTAGCTCCTTGAGAGGTTATCTAACTCCAAGTGGGCAGTCATAAGCACAGGTACACATGTGCACCAATGAATGCACTCAGTAAATTATATATATATATACACATATATGCATATATACATATATATAAATGTATGTATGCATATGTAACAATAATAATCAAGGAAAGGGAGAGGTATTTGTGAAGGAGTGGGGGACATGGGAGGAGTTTGAGGGAAATGGTATGAAGATTATAATCATGTATGATGTTCACAAAAAAATTTAAAAAGAAGGTCCTGTGCGTTACAGATTCAGATTCCTGAGAAATGAAAAGATCCTTTTAGAGCTGGGTTGGTGAATGTGGTAGTATAACTATGGACCATTCAAAAAGTGACTATAAAATCCACACCACATTTAATCTGAACCAAAAATGCAAAATATCTCATTCATACATGTTTTAAAACTATACTTATTATTTGTCTGTGTTGAAATGACAGTATTTTGGCTACACTGGACTAAATAACTTGTTAAAATTAATTTCAACCATTTCTTTTTATTTTGTTAATGTGGCTACTCGAAAAATTTAAACTATACATTTAGCTAGCAATATAACTCTATTGGTGCTTATTGCTTGAGTTTTTTTAAAAATATTATTTTTGTGGGAGTGTATTGCCTCCATGTATGTGAGTGAGCCCGTGCCATGCAATACCCATGGAGGTCAGAAGAAGGCATTGGATCCCCTGAAACTGGAGTTTCAGAAAGTTGTTAGCGCCATGTGGATGCTGGGAATTAAACCTGGGCCCTCTGCAAGAGCAGCCAGTGCTCTTAACCGCTGGGCCATCTCTCCAGCCCCTGCTGCTTGAGTCTTAATATAGATTTCTTTCATCTCTATCAGCATAAAGATTATTAAAAACTCAGTTTGGATGAAACATTCTAAAATTAACACCTACATTTCCAAATCATATCTTCCTTTTTTCACCAAATTTTCTTCCACATTAAAAAAAAAATGGAACAATCGCAAGTTTGTGCATTGAGGATTCATACACAGGCCGTACCAATATTCTCTGTACCACCCCAACTTTAGAGTATGTGTGGCCAAAGCCAGTATGCACACAGTTTTTCTCTTTTCTTTCTTTGCCTTGTTTTCCAAGCTGGGGATCAAACCAATCCAAAGGCAAAGGCTTTTCAATATGCTAGGCAAGTGCTCTCCAGCTGGGCTCTATCCCCAGACCTTTGGTATTGCTTATCTCCCCAGTCCTGTGTCCTGTCCCCTCTCCTCGCCCTCCCCCCCTTCCCGTTTCCCTCCCTTCCCTTCCCTTTTCTCCTTTCTTCTGCCAAGCTACTAAAAGAAAGTGGGGAATTTTCTTTTTTTGAGTCAGAAGTGGGCATAAAGCAAATGAATTTAAATGTAAGGGGGGGGTTAAATAAGAAAAACTGAAAGTAAGCAAGATTGCCTATAGACAAACTGTTAAAACACAGTAATACATACACCTGGACAAGCATCAATCCCATGGGGAAACCCAGCAACTTTAATTACTTCACCTACAGGCACCGCACTGAGAATTGTTTCTTTCCACTTGAGTGGAAGCATGCCGCTACGGCAGAGCCAGTTGTCAGGAGCTTTTCTTCTCTGATACCATAAGAGTCTTCTGGGACTTACTTTTATATGTGCCATATAAATGATAAGGAACACATGCAGTACACTGGCGGTGATAATAAGCACAGGTAGGGAGTCAGGGGGGTTTGGGTCTGACTTTGGCTGTGTTGGTTGCTCCCTTCTGTCGGCTAATCTGTAAAACAGGAATGATAGGACCAGGACTCCTGATGGATCAACACCCTGCTCTACAATTAGCCATTCTTCATTCTCAGTTTTGCAATCTGCTTGCTATCCTGTACTTTCAAAGAATTTTAGGGAACCACTGATGTAGACATTTGTGGTTTGTCCTCCGTAGTTTGTGTCAACCTGAGATACTTACTGGTCTCTGACTTGGCCTGAAGAACTTTTAAGGTCGATTGTGACTGTCATAATGTGTTCATGGTTGCAAGGAGAGAAGAATGGGTAGGAAACATCTGCGCAGAATATACGCAGACAAAAGATATGTTTCCTGCTGACCAAATGAAGGGCCAGGAAGTCCAGCTACGAGATACCTTAAAGGAACTTTGCCCAAGAGCACAAAATTGATCCTAACCGTAGACACTCCTTGTTGAAGCCTACAAATCAAGGTTTGCAGAAGGAAGCAGATACAAGCAGTCAGAGGGGGGTCCCTTGGTGCTAAGGGATCTTTGAGGAGCCCTTGGATATGACTGGAGAAAATGGTCAAATTCCTGTTAAGCCTCAGAAGTTATACAGGAGAGGTAGCTTCATGCTTGGAGGCTACAGCTCCCATGTACCCAGTGTTTTACTGTTCATGCTCTTCTCCGCAGCTATTTGCCATGTCCACAGGTCCCTGAACTCATCTTTTCTGCTAAGTTGAGAACCTCCTGAGGTTCTGATCTGCTTTGAGTAATTCTTGTTCTGTGTACACTGCTTGGAAGCTCAGGCAGTCATTAGCCAGGTTAAGAAGTTCTCAGCCAAGGCATGGTGGCTCACAGATTTATCGAGACTCGCTCTCCAAAAAGTATCAAACGGGATTCACATTTATTTTTTTTACTAGGAATTCGTACCTATCTGGGTACATGTTATTGATAGTTTAATGTCCACTCACCTATTCAAGCAAGGGAAGGAGGTGGATGAGGTAGTGGCAGTGTGGTACTAGAGATCGCTATTTCACTGACCCTGAACGCCGAGTACTTCTGACCCAGCCTGAAGCCTAGGTGGGGAGGTGGACAAGAAAATGCCTCCTGGTAGAAGAAAGTGTTCAGCAGAAGCACGTGCTGTAAGAAAGCCCCAAACTACAGTCCTAGGTCAGTCCATGTATACCCGCTACAGAGCTGGAAACCTGTTGGGAGTCGAGGCCTCAGTGTATGGGGAACACGACACAATCCGTCTAAGGGCAGGTCAGGCACATAACCCTTCCAACTTCGAGTGGGGGTATGTATATTGGAAACAAGATCAGGCAGTGGTAGGTTCAAATTCTGACCTGCTTTGTGACTTTGGATAAGTCATCGAACCTCTTGGAGCTAGTTCAATTTCTTCATTTATAAAGGCACAGTGAAACCTTCTAAGGTTTGTTGACAGAAGTAGATTCGGACCTTCAAGACCTTAACACCAAGACAGGCTCCATAAACGGCAGCCATCATTCTTGGCCAAGTGCAGGAGCTCCTCCCGCGGTGTCCCTCCGGACAGGCTGGGCCCGCCTCCGCCACCACTCCGCTCCCCTGGTGCTCCCCGCAGGTGGCCCAGCATCTGGATGTCCAGGCCCGCAGCCAGCAAGGAGTGCGGGCCGGCCGAGAGTCTCCCCCAAGATCGTCCCCTCCCCGCGTCCCCCATCCCTGTGCTCAGCGCAGGTGAGCTTTCGCCCAGGCCGCGGAGACGGCGACCTCACTAGAGGTCGAGGCAGAGGGTCAGCCCTGGGCCCTGGAGCCCCCGAGGACGCTGGCTCTGCCACCAGGTGAACCCTGCGGCCGGCTGGGGCGCGGGGCCCGCGGACCGCGCGCTCTGCGGCTGCGAAAACCCGGAGAGGCGGATGGGAGCGCTCGCCGCGCTCGCAGCCAACTCCTCCGCGGTCCGGCCGCTGAGCTGGGCATGCTCAGTGCGGCCGCGGCGCCGCCGTCCGCCAACTCGGAAGCTCGCGCTCCCGGGCCGTGGGGGCGAGATCGCCGCCCCCGGGCAGCGGCAAACTTCCCGGCGTCCCCCGGTCAGGCGAGACAGACGCCTCGCGATTTCCCACCCAGTTCCCCTTCCCACATCGACCGATGGAGGCTGCGGCCGCCAGAGCGTCCCCGCCGCCCGCCCATGCCTAGCCGCGAGCTGGGGACCAACAGGTAAACTGCTGGGGGTGGGGAGGGCGGTCCGGGCAGCGCAGTCGTCCGCGCGCCCGCTGTCCCGGCCTGTGCCCTCCCCAGCCCCGGGAGGGACGGCAAAGGGTTAAGTCGGCCCCGCGCCACCGTGAGCTCGGCCCCCTCCAGCCGTCGCTGCCGTCCGCAGCCGGCAGCCTGCGGCGCCCCGGAGCCGAGGGGACCCGCGCCGCGGAGACGCCGGCAGAGCCCGGAGCCCCGGCCGCGCTGGGTGCCCGCAGCCTCGCGTCCTGGGCGCTCGCATCCTCGCATCTCCGCCCCTCGCATCTTCGCGTCCTCACCCCTTTCGGCCCTGCTCCCTCCGCGCCCGCGGCTCTGCGCCCCAGCGGCCGGTCCTCGGCGAGCCGGGGGGCGGCCTCGGGCCACTGCGCAGCATCCCCCGCAGCCCGCGGCCGCCTCGCCCGCCGCAGACACGCGAGCTCCCGCCTAGGCGCCAAGAAAAGTTTTCTCCCCGGCCCTCCCCCGCCGCATCCTGCGCCCCGCCGGGTGGGTTTGGGTTCATTGGTGAAGAAAGTCACACGTTCCCATCAGCTGCTCCTCCCCCTGGGGACCGGGTGGAGGGTGACGGAGGCGGCGCCGCGGACCCTGGCCGACCTCCAGCCCCGCCGCCGCCCGCGGAGCCGCTGTCCCGGGGCTCCGCGCCCGGTGCTCGCCAAGGCGGCCCCCGGAGCGCGAGTGCGCGCGGACCGCGGCCGTCTCCAGCCTGCTTTATTCTGCCTGCAGCGCCACGGCGAGCGAGCGAGCGAGCGAGGACGGGAGAGGGAGTCTGTCTGCAAAGTGCTGCTCCCTGGTGCTCAGAGGCGGCTGCTCCAGCTCCAACTCTCATTCATTTCGCCGGCTAACATGAGAGATCATGGCCGCCTTCGGGCTTCTCAGCTATGAGCAGAGACCGCTGAAGCGCCCCCGGCTCGGGCCGCCAGACGTCTACCCGCAGGACCCCAAGCAGAAGGAGGTAAGGACGCCGGCGGCCTCCGCGGATGCTGGGCCGCGCTCCGCAGCGCTGACCCGGGGCCGAGCCGGCCCGGCGGGCATCGCTGCGCGGCGGGGGAAGGGTAGGGGAGGGGATTGGAGGCGGGGGCCGGGCTCGGGGGATGCGGGGCCCCTGGCCTCCGAGACCCGCCGCCTGTCATCGCCCGCGCGCGGCTGGGGCGCTCGCTCTGCGGGGGCCGGGTCGCTTCCCGGTGTCGGGCCTTGCACTGCGCCGCCGCCGGGAGCTTCCCGAGCTTCTCCCTTGCCCACATTCTCCTGCTCGCTTTCCTCCGTTTCTGCCCGTTGTATTTTCCCTTCTGCCGCTTCGGTAAATCCCCGTAAACTTTTTGAAAAATGTTGGACTGCAGTACATCGGACACTGAGGTCTTGCGTATTTTGCGCCAGTTGAAGAGGCAGGGATGGGGGAGGGACCCGGTCCACATTTTCCAGTTTGGAATGGAAGTCTCTTTCAGCGAGATGATCCTATCTCTTTGGCCCTCAGAATGTACCTCTGTATGCTTTCTCCCTTTTGAAAAATCAATCTTGAGAAACACTGAATTTTGTCTTTAGAGGCAGTTGGCCCAATTCCTGGAGGCTCGTTTGTATGTGTAAAAGCAGGCAAGTTACCTTGGAAGGGAATAGCTTCCAGGATTGTTTATTTCTTTGAAGGAAATTAATTGCAGAAACCTTGACTTTTGCACCAGGTACATGGGCTACAGTGGCTAGGGTAAGCTATGTAGGTGTTTGTCAGAGTTAACAAGTAATTATGTAACAACTCTCCAGTTACAGTAATGATCACCCTGGGCTGTACAATTTGCCCAGGGACTTGCCTGTTTTTTTTTTTTTTTTGGTTCACCTGCTCCCCAGCTGTTCTATCAGTTTGCCAGCTACAACCCACTCATCTTCTGTTTTCTTTAGCTGAACACTAAATGACCACATACTGGAACTTTCTGTGAATCCCAAAACCCTCCACAAAAAGTTTCTAGGTTCACTGATTCCATGAGAGGGCTTTGTAGATCCGGCTCCCTAAGACTAGTACTTTGACAAATACACCTTTTTCAAGGGCCAGGTGTAAAGAAAGTCACCTTAATCATTACTGGCAGGAAAATCTTAGAGTTTTGGTAAGGATAGGTACATTTATTTATTTATTTATTTATTTATTTATTTGATTTTTATCGCCTTATAATTAATGTCTTGCTACATCTTTCTGGACTGACATAATCCATGGCAGCTCTCTATTATGGGTTGGTGACTTGGATTATCATATGTACTTAGTTTTTATTTTTAAGGATGACACTCATTTCAGGGTTGGAACCTCTGGTATCCTGCAAAAAATAATTTTGGATGTCAGAGGTTATTTTCCTTATTTATGAAACTGGAAGACATAGACCTTAGAGGGTGCTTTTTATACTTTTGTCAAAATGAGATTGAAACCCAGAAAAACTTGATTTAACTGGTGTGTGGTGAATAAGCAAAGTTGGATTACCAGTGCAGTACTTATGTCAAAATCAATACCGTGTAAAGGATGACTTAAGTTATGTTGTTCTGCTGTCATTCGCTTTCCCCCAGGCAACTGATATTTTATCTCTTGAGCAGAGAGTCCTATGTGGCTGTAGTCAAATTTGGGTACAATATGGAACAGGTGCTTGGCTGTTCTTAGATGGTTGGTGAGCAGATTCCTAAAGCTTCAGTTATTTATGCATTAGACTACCTCTCAAAATTTCTACTCAGTTCTTGTACAACTGTACTTTTATTCTTTTATTAACTGTTGTGTCTCCTTGGCAGTCTCGAATTTTGCAATTTACTGCAATATGTGTATGTTTGTGTAAAATAGTTATCAAATCCCATATACATATTTACTTGCTATTATAGAGAAACACAAGATATATAGTTATACAGATTCAAAGGAGACCATAACTATTAATGTTTTAAAAATTTCTTCTGTGTATCTAAAGTGATTCTGCTGTCCTTCAAAGAGATGTGTTCCTCACGGTGGCAAGTTATGATTTTATTTGTTTGTTTGTTCATTTATTGATTTGAGACTAGGTCTCACTCAGTACCCAGGCTGATCGTGAACTCAGGATTCTTTTGCCTCAGCCTCTAAAGTGCCAAGGTTATAGATCTGTACCCCTAGGGTGCAGTACATCTGGCTGGGAAGTACTGATTTAATGGAGGAAGTAATAGGCCTCCAAGTTGGACAGTCATGGATTTGAATTACGGTTTCGCATCTTTGTAGTTGGGAAAGTTGCATAACTGCTTATTTGTAAGTTAGTATAATTGTGCTCTGCAGAAAGAAGATTTGTACAAATTTGGGAATTTCCCCCCTCATATTCATGAAAGAAAATCCCTCCTAATAGAAGCTGTCCTTATTACTATACACATAGTTGTTATTGTTAACTAGTGGTAGTAGTGCTCTGGAAATTGCCTCTTAGGGTTCTGGATGGAATCCTTCAGGGAGGATTCTGTAGAGACACATTAAAAAGCAGAGCTGGAAGCTCTAACCTGTTTGATCAGTTGCTCATGTTCATTCAAGAGCTTATTGTGTACCAGACTCCCTTAGGACTTTGTTATATGTGATGCTATAATAGCTTGTCATCTGCACACAGACTGTCCTCCAAACTTCTATTATGGGGAATCAGGTAAGTAGGAATCTTGTTTGGATTCCTCCTTCTCTATAGCTTGTCTATATGTCAGCATTATACACCCAGTAGTGTGTCTTGCCAGTGTACTTCCCAAAGCATTTGGGTTTCCCATCTATCAGATGCTCCTCACTAACTTGTTCAATTTCTTGTCTGGCTTCAGGCTGACTTTTCTCCTCCCTGGACCTCTTGGCGTATGTCTGTCTGTCTGCCTGGACACCTGTCTGCATTTTCTCCTCCCACCTCAGCATTCCACCCTGCTCCTCTCACTTAGCTTGTGGTCTGGAAGGGAGGCTCCGAGCCAGTCTGCTTGTTCGCACACTTTTCATTCTGCCTGTACCCTGCTTTCTTTGTTTATAGTGTAGGGATGAGAATACTACTCTTCTGCCAAGTTGTTAGATATGTAAAGAATTTAGGCTAGAGTTTGGCATTAGATTCTGTACCAAATATTACTTGTCAGAAATTGTCAGGCCTGCTTCTTTGTCATCGTTAGGTCTCAGCCCAGTGGCCTTTCCAGGCCTTTCTGGCATGTAAGTCATTTATAATTGTAGATTTATTTGCATCTGATCCTCTTCTAATGTTCCTGAGTTTAGGAATGAGGCTTTAGGTATCACTGCTGCTGAGGGAGCAAATATTTGTCATAATGTATGAATTTAAGAGGGATGAATGAATAAAAAAGGAAACCCAGTGACGGGTGCTGGGAAAGTCTAGGTAGATGCTGAAAGGATCCTTCCATTTGCTTTGAAGGCTGGTGGAAAGTGAAATTAAATCTTAGAAGAAGGAAGGAGTTATTTTACCTTGGCCTGGAGGCCTAGACAGTTGAATAGTGCGTATGGTCAGGAAATCAAATTAGTAAGCAAAATGGCGAGGTTTTAGGCATAGTAGCCACCAGCAGGGCCCAGGGAAAGGACTGTGTGTGGAATGTGTGTTGCAGCACCGGTTAGGAGAGGGGCAGCACAGCTTTGGAAAGTTGGCATGCTATGTACACATCCCCCTCCAGCTTCCAGGCAGAGTTCACTCACCAGGAGGGTTTGCTAAGACAGAATCTTATTTTAGGAGTGTCGTCCAGTGGTGCTTGCTTACCATGTGGATCCCCAGTACTACAAAAGAAAAAAAATAACGCGAAAAAAATTCCCAGATTATTGGGTCTCAGATTCAGCGAGTCCGAAGAGTGGCCTCAGAATTTGCATTTCTAACTAGCTGGTCCACAGCCCCAGCTTTGAGAACATGGGCCCAGAAGGAAGGCATCCTCTGTAGGAGCTGCTCCCTTGAACATTTAATGTGCTGTACTTAGGTGTCTCTTATGGCTGAAATTGCAGGGGTTTGGCTTATCAGCCCACTCAGCCAGGGTTTGGGGGACCTTTTCTCAGAAGTTGTATCTTTTCTTAGCTTTCTGAGAGTCTCAATCCCTCTCCACTGACTTTCTGTTACGCTTAGAATGACATGCAGATGCTTAGAGCCCCACCATCTCTCACCTCCACCACAGATGCTCCAAACCCCACAGCCTGACTCTAAGCCCCACAACCTGGCTCTGAGTTGGGGCTCCACCACTTACTGCTTCTTGGCTTCAGAGCCCTCACCTGTGAAGCGGGGTTCATGTTTGCTTCTACTTCACAGAGTTGCTGGGAAGGAAGAACAAATTGCTGTATGCAAAATGTGTTGACATGCCACAGACATGTCACATAGACTACGGGCCAGCTACTTACTAAAAGCTGATCTCTTGATAAAGCATCTCAGAGCCTCTTGCACTGATGACAGTGTCCACAGACCTTGCCTTTTGAGATCTGGCTCTGCTCAGACCTTCTGCTTCTTGTATCCTGCTGGCTTCTGGCTGTGGAGTAGAACCCGGGAGCCTCTCTCCTTTCAACAGGCCTGGCTCCCAGTTTAGATCCCAGTCCCTTGTGCCCCACCTTAGTCATGTTTCCTCTTTTGGTTCTTAGCTCAGAGACTGTCCTATATGAGGCCCTTTGAAGCCCATCTTTGTGTGCCCTGGCCAGTTTCTTACCTTCGTTAATGTTTTTTCCTAGTGCTTGTAGGTGTCTGAAATTCCATTGTTAGTGGTGCTGTGTCTCCTGTCCATGGCCTGCCTGCTACATGAGGAATTGTTGTTGCCATTTGTGTGATTGCCTTGTGCCTGTGGTTAGGCCAGGTACTAATTGATGAAGAAATTAATAAAATTCAGAGACATGTGAGAAGGTGTAGTGTGGAAGCATGGGGAGGATGGGATTGAGTTCTCTGGGAAGACTGGACAGGTTAACCAGCTTCCTGGAGGACTAAAAGACAGAAGATAGAAAGACACTGATTCTAGAAACCTCCTTACCTGAGAGCAATCTACTGATCCCGA